CCTTCCATGTTAGTGATTTATTCCTAATATCTGTGTTTTCATATTTTGCTTTTTTTTTTTTCAGAAATTGTGGAAATTCAGAGCATTTAGATGATTTGAAAATGTTAGCAGTGTTCTCTGCATTACTATAGTTTCCAGCTTATGTTCTTTTTGGGACTGATCTGATAGGAAATGTGGGTATTAGTAGAGGGTAATCCTGACGCCACTGTCTTACAATTTGCTACTTTCGGTGTTTCTCAGTTTGCAGTCACTTCGGTTTGGATTTATTTGTATCTAATAAACTAAGTTCTACATTCATATTTTCTAATGCAAAAGGAACCCTTTTACCAATAACCATACATTTTAATTGTTGTCTACAAATTCTGACAATTATCTGTAACAGTTTGTGTTTCTCTGTTTAAGAAAGTTCTCAGTGATAAGTAATTCATATATATTTTAATGAATAAGGAAAAATTTGTTTTTTTATTTAACACTGCCTCATGTTAAATGAAGTTAACATGTCTAACATACTGACTAATGTACTTGATACTTCAGCCTAATTAGTTGATATTTTGGCCAAATTTTGGTCTTTATGCAAAGGCTCTACGTAGTGATTTCTAGCCCTGGTTTTGCTAGTTTTTCATTTATTTTAAAGCGTATCACAAATTATTTCAATAGAAACATTGATACCTAGTATCTGTTTCAGAGGGAGGAAGATAGGATATTAATACTGAACTATTTGGACCCTGTTAACCTAAAAAAAATCAGCCTTCCTGCGCTGCTTTAGCAGCCTGCCTCAGCAGCAACCAGCATCCAGGGATATTGAAGACATTTTTGAGGTCCTGTGGGAAACGTGTGACTGACAGCATAAGAGGAAACATCATGGTATAGTGAAAAGCACTGGAACTAGAAGTTGAAGAAACCACTTTTCTGAGCCCAGTTTTGCAACTAACAGTATGACCCCAAGCAAGTCACTCAACTGTTACCTAATTACCAGGGTTGTGAAGATTAGGTGGATAAGACACTTTACCTGATCCTCCATTGCTTCATGTGTTATGTGCTCATGCTTAGATGAATAATAACTTTCCTTCAGGTCTAAAATTCTGGAGTTTTTTTCTAAAATAATTTATAATGATGTTTTGAAAAGTATAAATCTTCATATATAGGAACTTATAAAGACAAATAGGAAATTGTGGCCAAAGTCTTGACATTTGTAGACTTTACAGCATGATGGCAGATGATGGTTGATAAACCATCAGATTGTCTCTCATTCGCTCCCATGTTTCTTTGGGACTTAGTTCCAGAGTTTTAGCTTCTGCGTGTAGTGCTATTCTTATTCCCTATGTACCTGTTTGTAATGGAGACTGACCAGCAAAATTTTGCTCTATAAGGAGTTATCTTTAATATTTATTCAAATACATCCATTCTGATAACAATACAGTTCATTGTATGTTTCAAAGTAGACTACTATGACCATAATGTCCCAGTCATCTTTCACGTGTTGCATTTAAGGTTTTTGGTGAACTCCAAAAAACATTGTGTGAATGACTTTTTTTTTTTTTTTGAGATTTTTAGCTTTTATTTCTATTGGTACTATGGAGACTATTGACATTGGTTTAATTGCTTATATGAAGAGGTTAGATTTTCTTTAAGTTGGATCTGAAAAGTGAAAAATGATGAGAATCAGGGTCATCTGTAATGCCCAAATTTAAAACAGTATTGAAATAGAAGCTAGGTATTTAGAGGTAAACCATAGCTTTTAAGCTATTTGAAGACTGTGGTCTATTAATGGGGCATGTGGACTCTTGACTCCTGGTAGTAGTGATGTTCTTGAGGAGATCAACGTTTGTACTCTTGATTTTTTCAACTTGGTTATGTAGAACAAAAGAAAATAAATACTTTTAAGCTAATTTGTTTTCAAACACAAAAAATAACAAACAAAAGTTTGTAAAATTAAAAATGAAACCACTTCTGCCCCCACTATTATCCTTTTCAAGCCCAGAGATAAGTGCTATTAGTGTGTTACCACCAATCCTCCCAGATACTTCTATGGATATATAAGGAAGTATACATGAATGTGTTTCTAGTCCCCACGCCATTCATTCCCAGTAATTTAATTTCTTTTCACTGAGTATATCTGCACATCTTTGATACCAGTATGCACATCTGCCCTTTTTTTTCATGACCGCATAATGTCCCATTGTATGACTGTGCTATAATTAATTTAAACAGCCCCCTTTAATGAACATTTAGATATTTTTATTTTAACATAGTATTACCGTGAAGATTTCTGTGTATATATATATCTTGGCATACTTTTGCATAAGATAAAATCTTAGCAGTCGAATTCTTGACTTAATGAGTACTTTTAGTTGATGTGCATTTTCTTGATTTTGAGTTAAGTTGAACATTTTCTCATATGTTTATTGGTCAGATTTTGTGTTTTGCTGAACTATCTGTTCATAAACTTGTGACACATTTTCCTCTTGGTTTACTCAGTTTTCTATTGATTTATTCATATTCCTCTGTGTTATGAAATTAGCTCCATATCACTGTATTGGCAGATATTTTCCCAATTCTGTGATTTTTATGTTGTTATTTACTTTGTATCTATTTATTTGCTTACTGTTTTGCCACTACATAGTGTTTAATTTCCATGTACTTAATTTTTTTTTAACATTGTTTTATCGGCTTTGTGTTTTATATGTAAGGCTTTCTCACTTAAAGATTATTTTTTAAAATGTTACTTTTTCTAGTAATTCTTTAGTTTCATTTTGTATGCTTAAATCAGTGATCCATGTGGAATTAATTTGGTATAGAGAGAAGTAGGGACCCGGCTTTAGCCAACAAGTTGCCTGAAACACCCCTTACTAAAACATGCTTTTCCCCTGTAATTTAAAATGCAGTCTTGATTTTATATATTCCTATTTTTGGATATATAGGATTTTATAAAGTCCTAGTGTGCATTTATTTCTGGACTCTGTATTGTTGCTACTGATACGTCTATATATAACTTCAAGTAGCACCAAACTGTTCCACTCCTGCAGCTTGTAACTTGTGTTACTGTCTGCTAGGATAGTTCTCTTTTCATTCATCTTTTAAAATTTATTGAGGGGCACCTGGGTGGCTCAGTCGGTTAAGCGGCTGCCTTTGGCTCAGGTCATGATCTCGGGGTGCTGGAATCGAGCCCCGCATCGGGCTCCCTGCTTGGCGGAGAGCCTGCTTCTCCCTCTCCCTCTGTCTGCCGCTCTGCCTGCTTGTGCGCTCTCTCTCTCTCTCTGTTAAATAAATAAAAATCTTAAAAAAAAAAAAAATTTATTGGATATTATCGCCTTTTTTTCTAATAAATTTTAGTATAATTTTGTCAAAACACTTCCGTCTCTTGCCCCCAAAACTAACACACGCCATCTTGGGATCATATGGGGGGGGTGTAAAAATTGGGGCTGGGGAGAGAGAATAACACCATCATTGTAATGAATTTTTCTATCTAGTAATATGATAGGGATTTCCATTTTAAATTTTCCATTATTCCCCTCAATAAAATAGCATATCACATAAATTCTGCATGTTGTTAAACTGTGCATAAGTATTTATCTTTTTTATTACTCTTGTAAACAATTTTTCCTTCCACTTTTCAGTTTGATAGTATGTTTATAAAGTTACTGGGTTTATGTACTTGGGTTTTCCAGACAATACTATCATCTGCAAAAAATTTCTACTTTTCCTCTGCAATTTTGATACTTCTTTCTCTTAATAATTTATATTTTCTTAAAGCATGGCCCACTTCACCTAGTTTTTCAAATTTATTTGCATAATTTGTTATCTAATAATTCTTATTTCTTTTGAATCTGTGCTTATATCCCTTTTTTGTTACTCAAGGAATTTGTGTTTACTTGCCTTACCTACTACAGCAAATAGTAAAGATACTCTTTTTTTCAATATTATCATCTTTGAAGTTAAAAAATTCTTCCATGGAGTTAATCTGTATGCCTCATCCTGCTGTTGTAGTCACTGCTTTTTTTTTTTTTAACTTCGTCTCCCATAAAATGAAGACGACTATGATAGCTTTTTCTACTAAGATTATTATTAAGTCACTTGTTAGCTTTCTTCTAAGCTAAATATTTTTAGTTTTTGAATATAGCCTCATGGAACACAGTTTTCTAAAATCTTTATATCTCTTTTGGAATTTCTTGAGGAGATTTAACATTTTGGCTAAATTTTTAACATACTTCCTATTGAGGGATCTTAGTCACGATTACATTGTTTACCTTTAAAAAATAGTATTCTAGCCTACTACATATTTTAAATAACCAAAGTAACTCCATCCTCAGAGCAAATAGTATTTAGAACAGAATTAAAAATGATAAGTGTAATTTGTTTATATATTTTTTTTTATATTTTCGGGGGAAAAGAATTGTTGACAATGTCATGGATAGACCATGTTTCATCAATCTTGAAAATAAAGGTTGTTGCATAAGCTAGTTAGGTCCTGGAGTTCCATGTTTGTCCAGAAACACTCTGCTCCTTATTTTTGAATGAGTTATAAGATTGGCAAAGAAAAGCATGTTTGTAAGGCAGATATGAAAATTCCAGGGAAGATGCAAGATGGGACTAATACGAATTTATGTGATACATATATGTAAATATGTGTTAGCATGTGTTTTTGTACAGATGTGATCAAGTATGATTATGTTTTCTAGGATAAAATGAATGTGCTAATTTAATAGTAACTTTAATGTTCAATTTAAATTTTGTAGGTAATAACAATATCTTCTAAAAATCCAGCATTAATGATTGGCATAGCTGCAATTGAGTCATCTTGAATAAAGCAGTGCAAAAAGGTGCTTTTAAAAAGGAAGCAGCAATAATTTTGTGAATATTCAATTTTATGATGATATATTTACTGTATAAGTATGTTAATAACTTGCCCCCACTGAGAAATGGCTTCTAGAGGATCGCAGTGCATTACTTGCATTAGAATAGAAATAATAATGAAATTCTCTCTCTCTCACCTTTTTTAGGTCATGGAAAATGGGAGATTTGCAAAATACAAGTATTTTACCCATGTCATGATCAATAAAACAGATATGTTAATGATAACTAAAAGGTAACTTTCTTTCTCAAATGTAATTTAATGAGAGGTTAACTGAGAAGCCACTCATGGAGAGAAGCAGTTGACATTCATCATTTGTTGCAGATAGTCACACTGATTCCTGCTAACTCTGGTCCTTTTGCTCTACAAGCTTTGTACCAAAAACCTTACATAAACTCATATTTAGGTTTGTGTGTGCATACAGATAAATGCATTCAGCCATGCACAAACATAAATAACTTAGTATTTTTTCAACCAATGTGAATAATACAGAAATTCCCATAAAACTATCCTCACACTACCATTTCTTCCCCTTCTGAAAAAGTACACAATTTCAGATTACCCCAGAAATCTTCTGGTGATATCTATTCATTAGCATGCAGGAAATTCACTCATGTAAGTACATACACCATTGTAGACAGATCAGGTCTTACACGGGTACTCCCAGCTACAGCCAAATCCTCAAGTAGACTATAGACAGAAGTACATGTAAAAATACACAGCCTCAGAGGGGCTAGTTTTTGCAGGAGTCCTTGTTAAGCTGAGAAAAAGAATGAGCTGGTGCAGTATTAAAATGGGGATTTCTGGATGGATGGCACAGAGTGAAAAATGTGCCTGAAGGACAGAGGTTGTGGCTGAATAGAAAGGAGTGGTAAATAAGCCTATGTGGTTTTGTTCACTATCGAAAAGGTGAAGTTACAGTAACATCTTGTTAGTTCAAGCTCACTGTTGAACTTAGCAGTCATCTCTAATGTTTTTCGTCCTAATCATTTCTGAGTCTAAAATTTACAACACTATGTAATTTTTTTATTTAAAAAGTAACACAGAATAGAAAATTCGCACAGTATTAGAAGATACACATGTAAAGTTAGTCTTCATTCCATCCCAGATACCAGCCCCTCTTTTCCCTGCCCCAGAGGCAACCACTTTTACTTGGTTCCTTCTTGAAATATTCTGTAAGTATACAAGCATCATGCATGTATATCTTAACGTAAATGGAAATCTGTTACATGTATCATTCTGTACTTTGCTTTAATTTTTTGCTTTAGATCTATGTCGATATCAGCATATGGATATCTTTCTTAATTTGTAAAGAACTGCTTAGCGTTCATTTAGAAGTATGTACTATATTTTACATTTAAGTTGTTAATAAGCTTTTATAATTGGGGCAGTCCTTCAGCAGCCCTTTCTGTTCATAGCGATTTTCAGTCATGTTTTTATTAACCCTCTCTCCCATTGACTACGTGAAGTGTGACTCATCAGAGTTAAACAAGAGTCAGTTGCAAAATTTAATAGTTTACAATTTAGTTTGCAACATTTAAAAACTGACCTCAACACAGTAGACCTCTTTAAAGGAAGTCCTATAAACCTTGATAAAGTAAGGGAAGTGACTTGTAGTTGACTGAAAGGTGGTATTCATACTTAGCATTTCCTTTCTTTCCAAGTTTCAGATTTGAGGATTAAAGGGTCTTTGAGTGGGGGAACGGGGAGAGTACCAGGTGCCTGCTACAAAATTAGCCTATCTTAGATTTTTTACGTGGTTGAAGATGTGCGGGAGCACCAGTAGGTTTGTTCGAACAGTCCCTGTAATCCAGGATTGGTGAAAGAGGGGATCAGAGATAGAAGATTGAAGAGAGGGGCACCTGGGTGGCTCAGTCGTTAAGTGTCTGCCTTCGGCTCAGGTCATGATCCCGGGGTCCTGGGATCAAGCCCCGCATCGGGCTCCTTGCTCGGTGGGAAGCCTTCTCCCTCTCCCTCTCCCACTCTCCTCTGCTTGTGTTCCTGCTCTTGCTCTCTCCCTATCAAATAAATAAATAAAATCTTTAAAAAAAAAAAAAAAGATTGAAGTGAGAGATGTAAGTCCTGATTAGCTTGTTCCAGCCAGGAGCCAGCTCTTTAACGCAATCCCTTGACTTAAAGTATGTATTACTTAAAAAAAAAAACATCTGGTTGCACCTAGAATTGATGCTTCAACCAGAAAGAACTGGGAAAGTAAAGGCCTTTGAAGGAAGGATTAAGTAGAAGTATAATAGAATGCATTTTTCATTTGATTTTTTTTCTTCTCAAGATGGGAAAGCATGAATTAATTTTAAAAAGCCTTTTTTAAGGTAGGTTGGTAAGCCTATTGCATGGAGCCTTGGTAATAAAAACATTCTAAAGCCTTAATTACATGAAAGTTCTCCAAGATATTAGCTAATAATAGGTTCTGTCAATTTTTTTCTATTGTGTATAAAGTGCCTTACATATTCTAGAAGTACATTCATTTTTTCTAGCATAAGTACGTTGTGCTATAAATTTCCCACTAAGCATTGCTTTAGTTACATCCCACGGATTTTGCTATTTTGTGTTACATTTTCATTCTCATTCACTTCAAGATATTTTCTAATTTCTTCTGAGATTGTTTGACCCATGGATTATATAATAGTATGCTAATTTCCTAGCATTTAGAAATACTCTTCTGCTCCTAGTTTCTCGTTTAATTTCATTATGATCAGAGGATATACTTTGTGTGATTTCAGTTCTTCTATATTCCTTAAGGTTTTTTATGACTCAGAATATAGTCTCTCTTGGTTAATGTTTTATGTGCACTTGCAGTGAATGTATATCTTGCTATTATATTATTGGACATAAGTGCTTTTGTTTCTACAGTGGATTCTTTTTTTTCCCCAGTGGTGTATTGTTTGTAACAAAAGGAACATTTGGACAGCTCACATGTGAGTGGCAGTACAGTTTTGATGAGTTTACCAAAGAGCCATTCATTGTTCACGGGAGGAGATTACGCATTGAAGCAAAGGTATGTTGAATAGATTTTTTTGAAAACCTGGAACTGAAAATAACGCATTGAAATGGTGCTCTTTATAATTTTCCCATCTCTTTCATAGACATTGCTTTATCTTACTGTGGTTTTCCTTTACACCTCCTGTCTTATTCAGGCTTGAAGAAAAGCAAGTTAGGCCAAGAAAAGATACGCGACTTTATGTGCTATTGCATTGACAACAATTTTCCTGGGTCTTCACTTTCTAGAACCCCCAATTTCTCACTGCTGTCCACGACACAAAAATGAGAAAATCATTTGTATACCTCAGAATCCCTAGCAGTTCCATACAAAATGCTTTTCCCTGAAAATCTTAAGAAACGACACTTGAAAAGTTACCTCTCTGAGACAGTTACTGGAACTTCTTTTTCTTTTTATAGATACCAACTTCCCAATTCCATTATAATATTGAAGGCAGAGACCATTTCTCACTCCGCATTGATTACTAGCATGGTGCCTGGTACTTGGATGTAGATATGAATTGCCAGTCATTTGGCAAATCAGCAGATTCTCAGTATCCATTATAAGTTTTAAAGATTGCACGAGGTATTATAAGCGATATAAAGAAATATAAGGTATTTGGCCTCAAGGTATTTGACCAGATACCTTTGTGTAGGGGCACTTTGGCACTGGCTGTATTAGTAGGAAGTATTGTAAATGATACAACCCAAGTTAAGTCTTGTTCTTCGTTATTTTTTTTGATTTTGACTTTGAGGGCTTTAATTGGCTCCTGTAACTGAAAGTCTTAAGTCCATATCCGCTAGTTTAGATATGCTCCAGTGGTGTCGTTAGCAGTTACTCTCTCTCCCTTCCTCTCCTCCTTCATTCTCTCCTTCTTCGCCACCCCCAGTTCTAGGTTCTGCTTTCTTCAGTGTTGGCTTCATTGTCAAGCCAGCCAGCAGAAGTTCCAGGTTTATATCCTACTAGCTCAGCAACATGAAAGCTGCTCACTGGGTCTCACTGGGCCACCTTCGGTCACATGCCCATTCCTGAGCCAGTCACTTTGGTCAGAGAGCTGGTATGAGCCATATGGCCAGGTGAGGGTCAGGGGATCGCCATGGGGCTTCCAAGAAGGGTGGGTCAGCTCTATCTGAAGTATTTGGAGTGAGAGAGGGTGAGAAGTAGTTACCCAAAGGAGATTGAAAAAGTTGTTGCTGCAGCAAGAGGCACTAGACACAGGCAGGCAGAAACAGATGTTTTGTGGGTTAGCCTGTAGAACAGAACTGCCCCCAAGGTCTTGCGTTTAACCATTAAAGATCATGTCTCTAGTCTTAACACTCATTGCAAACACACAGGCAGCTCCTGAGTAGACTGGCTATTTGTTCTTGAGGATCTTAGACCATCTTACACATTGAGAATTTTTCTGATTCACTCAGAAAATGAAAGGCCCTGTGGCCTTATGCAAAATAATGGATAGTGGCTATTACCTTCTGCTCTAGCCTGTGTTGCTTTCCTGGCTTTTTTCATACCTTTTTCTCTCTCCAAAGCTAAACTTCTTCTTATCTTCTTGGTTTCTTTCCCTTCTACCTTTTCTTGAACCCTTTTATCAGCAAATACCCCTTTTTTTTTTTTTAAGTAAAAGAATCTGATATCTTCTAGAATCTGTATTTACATGGTTGTTTGAATTACCTAGAGACCCTCACATTGCTTCCTCTATAGCTCTGCCCATAGTTAATAGAGGTAAACATCACCCTACTCCTCATTAGTCCTGTTATTTCTGTTTGTCCCTCTCATGCTTACTATCCACCTTTAGCTCTCCCCACAAACACTGAACAGAATACCAGAGGAGTGTAAAAAGTGGGGGACAATCAAAAAAAAAAAGTAGAGGGCATTAAGCTTAAGCTACATTCTTATTATATGACTGATTTAAAATGTCAGAAGTTACATACATACACACACCCCTATCCAACACACATGTGTCTATTAATTTATTTTTTAACTGAACTCATCTTAATTTCATGGCCAGATACCAAGAACTATCTGCGAAACTATTTGGAGGGGAGAACACTGCTCTGATTTACCTCCTCATCCTTTGCATAAACCCTGTATGGCTTTGGCAAGTGAAATCTCAAAGCTTTTTAACTTAAGCTTAATGATAATGGATATGTTAGAATTTAGTCTTTTTTTTTTTTCCATTTGTATTTGATTCTTCTTGGTTCTTCATTTTTGCCTTTTTTAAAAAGGTATATAATTTGTGTAAGGTGGATACTTTAAGCACAGAATTATAAAACTGTGGCATTTTTTAAATCCTATGTCTACAACTGGATTTTCATTTTAATGAAGTTACTCTGTTTATAGGAACGGGTGAAGTCTGTGTTTCATGCCAAAGAGTTTGGAAAAATAATTAACTTCAAGACCCCAGAGGATGCTAGGGTAAATATAATGAATCTCTTTTACTTAAACAGCAGCTTCTCATTTCAAAGCCATGTAATAAGTTGGACTGTTTTCTAAGGCAGATAAGTTTTGCTTTTAATTTTGTTTTTGTGTTTTTACTGTTTTAGTATATGCAACTAGATAACGTTTCCTCAAAATTGTTTTTCATTACCACCTTTCTCAGTTTCTCTGTAATACGTTTTTCATTTAATCTCTGTCACCATGTTATTTTATCCCAGAAGGCTTGTTTTTAATCTTCCTGCTGTGCCAGAAACATCCAGAGAAGACTACTGGGCTCAGTTCTCATTTTCTGTTTATCTTAGAGACAGTCCCACTAAGTTCTTCTTACATTAATAGAAGCGCATATTTCTCTGTTGAAGCTTCTCATAATGGGATAACCCTAATATCGCCTCCAGGACTTTCATACGTCACACAGCCCCTGTGATAATAGACATTGTTGGTAGGGAGTTTTGCATTATATTTGCATTTTATTTTGCAATTTCACAGCCTTGCAAAATAGAAAAGATCTATATCATGAGAATACCTAAAATACTCACGAAGGTTGCTATGCTGCTAGCCACTGTAGAATTACATGTAATTATTCCTGCTTCCATCAATAGAATCCTATATATGGAATCATGAAGGTTTGTGATACAGAATTGACATCTGTCGGAAGAAAGTTTGCACAGATGGTTTTCAGCTATGCCATGGTTATTCAGCCAGCTGCCAAATTACCCTTCTCTCTCAAGATGGTTTATTTTACTTATTCTGAAGATGAACATTCAAGTCCAAAGACCTTAGAAAAACATTCTTATTATTAAATCAAACCTGGTACCATTGTCTCTGAAATTCTGGGCTATTTAACTGAGGTGAATGATGTCTTATGCAGGGTGAATTTAATTATTGGCCATGAGTATACACCTAACCAAACTAGAAAGCCAGCTTCTAAATTTACATTCATTACATTTTGGGTTTCATTGCAAGTTCTTGAAATAAGCAAATGTTGGTTTATTTCTCCACAACAGTGGATCCTCACAAAACTAGAAGAAGCAAGAGAACCTTCCCCGAGATTCTGATGGAGAATACTGCCTGAAGAGACACAGCAATAAATCATTAGAGTTTCAACCTTGTACCTTCCAAAACCAGTTTGGGAAGTATAGTACAAAAGTAATTTCAAGTACTAAAGAAAAAAAAAAACCAAAAAATTGGTTGCAATCAGGTAAAACAATTATGTGATTAAAATATTTCAACTCATTGGGGATCCATTTGGTTTTCTAATTTGAATCATGCATCTGGTTAAAATTCTAATTACTTTATAAAGGAAACATTTCTTTTATGAATCTTAAATATTTGCTCCAAGTGGTTCTCTGCAATATGGAGAAATTACCCATATTGTGCACCCCTCATGGAGCTAAGTTTAATGTTTCTCATTTGTATTTTAAACTTATATCATGCTTACTTCAGACTCCCTGAATCAGTGACAGGTAATTGATCAAATCAAACATAACCTCAGTGGTATCAGGAGAACCTTAGTGGTGGTTTCTTTAGAAACGTGAAGTTCTTTTTACAGATAAATATTTTGGTATTATTTTCCTTATTTTTTTATAAAGGATAGGTTTGAATTATACTTCCATAGCATGACTATGAAAACCGACCTTTTTTAATATAATATAATACAATACAGATTGAATAATACCCCTTCAAGCCTCATCTTATCTTAAGAAAGGCTGGAAGAAATGAGTGTTATACCCAAAAAGGAAAAGCCCCTTTCAGAACTTTGAAGCCTTAGAAATACTTCCTCAAGCCAACTTCATGGGATCTACTTGGTTTACCCAGGTCACGTTTTTAACAGATTGCTGACTTTAATGGAAAATCCCTGAAGCCTTAACAATACCAACTTTCCATTCACTGATTATATGAAATAAACGTAATTCCCACCATCTTAGATACAAGTTAAGCTTCAGAACAGACAGCCCTTCTTGTAAGTAAATGTCTGTACCCTAAAGTGTCTGTTGGCAGAAGATTGGGAATTGCTGCTGTGTTTTCTCTACAGTTATTCAAATGACAGTCACTTTTAAAAGCTCATCAGGACAAAAATCATGGGCTGCGCATTAGTAAAAAATAAGGTCATGGGGTTTTTTTTCTTGGTTTTTGTCCAAGATCCTTGTACTTTAATATTAATGGACTTTTTCAAGTGAAAGGGGATGAATATACGATTGTGAACCATGAAGAGAATAATGCAGTGTCTTACTTAGTTATTGAATAATACAGAGTATTTGATGCATGTCGTATGTGCCATGAAATTATTATAAACTGTTTCTGGGATTGGAGACTCTGTATAGTCAGTCATTGTGAAATTCTTCTCAGGGTCCTCAAACCCTTGCTTTGTTGTAAAAGCTAAAATAAACAGCATGCCAGACTGTAATTTTATTTCTTCCTGACTGAATCCTACTACTGATTTTCCTTTGATTATAAAAACACATTGTTTATTATCAGTAGTTTCCCCCAGAATGTTTTTTTCTTTGCTGAACATAAATTGAATCAAAAGATGACAAATTTCATACCCCATGGTAGTGCGTGCTCCCATGATGACTTTTGTTCAGAGCAACATCGACATTTTCTCTATTGCTCAGCTCCTCCAATTTTACACACATTAGAATTAAAACTAAGAGTAGTGGCCAGAAAACTTTCATCAGATTGTCCCCATTTGAAATGTTGCTTTACTGGAGTTCCATCCAGTGCCATTAACCAAGTACCTCTTTACCTACTACAGTTTCATGATTTCATTCTCCAAAAAAATATAGACCCCTAACTTCTTGGGTGTTCCATGGTAAAGGGGAAAAGCCTAAAAGAGTAAGCAAAGATTTTTCAAGTATCCTCTGGAGAGCAACAGGGAGCAGGTATAGTAACTGGTACATATGCAAAGCCAGCCTGCCTGTTGGTTCCTGTTGTTCACTTACCAGTGAGGACCTAGAAATATCTTTTCTTATTTTTGAGTAGTGGTCTGCCCATCAACACCTCTGTCACTTCCTTTGTTTCTATAGTTGGAAGACCCACAAGTCCAAGGGCAGTCATTTATCAATTGTCTTAGAAGATTGTCTTATCTAAATAAGGAACATCAGTAGATAACTAGATAATGAGTCTTTTTAGCATAACATTTTATAATTATGTGTTTGATTCTATATTCTTTTTTCTTGAACATTACAGAGTCCATAATCTTACTGTGTTTGAAAATAATCTTTCCTGAATTCTGTTTAACATTTAATGGCTGAGAGCTTTAAGCTTCTCACGGTCGGTTGGTAGCTGTTATGGAATGAGATCCCGGGTATTGTGTCCCTTCCCTGTGTTGTTAGCTGTAGCCCCAGCCCCTTATTTCTAGCCCAGCATCTATTCTGGCCCGTGATGATTGCATAAAGCCCAGCACAGAGTATCTGTTCCCTGCCAACTCTCCTCCGAAAAACTGTGATCATTAGAAATAGCAACTTTGATTTCTGGTACAATGAGAAGCCTGTGATTTCTTCACATTTACAAAACACTGTCTGAACCCAAGAGCGTGTGCACTTCTCCATTGCCTTCCCTCTTACTGTGTATGTATTGGCTGCTTTTTCCCTAGTGTTACAAAAGCTTGGGATTTTCCCCAGGTTCAGTTTAATACAGACAAGTTATTTTCTGGTCCCTAAATAATCATTAGCTGCTGTAGGCAGTCCTTCCCTGATCCACCCTCCTCCACAATCCTAACCCATGACAAAACTATCCTGTGGCCTCCAAATAAATAAGAATTTCTTCTTATATTATTTCCATCATAATTATCTTGTTTTTTTATGATGGTAATAACAGTAAATTTTCCCAGTGAATATATGTGCATCTGGCTTATCTCTTAGAAATATCATAGTATTTTATTCCTGTCTGATAAAAAAAAAAAATAGTGCTGTATTTTCTGAATTTTCAGTCATCACTTGCCAGTGTTAAGTGATCCTTCAGGCCAGGCCAAGTCCCCTGTATTAAAAAGGTTGGGACAGGAGATGCTAGGCTAGTTTGCCCATAGGAGTTGAAACTGGGTGCCAAATACACTGCAGATAGAAGTAGTCGTTTGGAACTGGATGTTTTCCTGTTCCTGCCAACACAATTGAGAGAAATTTGTTTGGGTTCCAAAGCCATTGCTTTTTACCTTTTCTCAAGATAATCAAAATCCTCAAGGACAGTGTTTTTTAAACTGTAGGTCTTAACCCATTATTGGGGCCATAAAACCAATTTCACAGCTCAAGGCCAGCATATTTTAAAAGTGGAATAGAAATTAAAATAAGAGAACATTGCATGTAACAAGGTTAAATACTGTTTCCTGAGATGTTTACTAAATAGTTTATATACTGTGTGTACTGAGTCATAATATAAAACGTTATTTCCTATTGTGAATTGCAGTTAAAAAACAAAACAAAACAAAAACAAAAAACCTTGAGAACCACTGCTGTGGGAGGCACGGGCCAAACACTGATTGTTGGAACAATCTGGATTGTGTGGAGCGTGACCTTAGATAAGGAGGAGCAGATTCACAACTCAGGGATATCTTCAGATTGTGAGCATCATCTTTTTCTTTTGAGTGAGAAGATAGGATGGCTGTTGTTTTGCTTTTTATAAGATGTTTTCCTTTCCTGATGTGTATCAGATGCCCTCAGGTACCAGAAAAAGCATAGAAAAGTTAGATCTGCAAACAGCACCCAAAAAAGTCCACAGGCTTTTAACTAGAGATTCTTAACTAGAGATATTTCAACCTCTCTCCCACTAAGCATTTTACTAGGATTGGAGACAGAAGTTCTCTCCTTTTATGAATTTGCTCTGTCCACCTTCGGTGTGATTCACTGTAAAGTGGTAAAGGCCCTTAAAAATGGGGAGCTTAGATACAGGTCACACTTTTTTAGGGGTCAAAGAACTCGTTCTCTGGAGGGTGCTATACAAATGTTGGTGCAGTTGATGTGAAATAATTGGATTTCCTCATTTCTGTAGATTTCTGGTAGAAATAACCTGCAGTCCTTATTCAAGGTTCAGGACAAAATTCATTCAATCTGACTTTCTTTGGTGCTATTACCCAGTATCGCCTGTAGCTCCTTCATGTGCCTTAAAAGAAGGCCATTCACCCAGTGCTTTGAAATATACTTTTGAAATTACACCTGACTGCTAATGCTGACCAATCAAGTTAGTATTAAACAGTTATAACTTTTATGGTTCGTTGACTCTCTGGTTTTGGTCATTGGCTAATACAGCTATTAATGCAGACCTTCGCTCATGCTGCTCTTCTTTCTGCCATGATTGGTGTAAAGGAATACTGTTTCAGGGTTATTCTGCAAGCAGGCCACCACACGGGCTGAGGAGATGTGGGATCCTACTCTATCCACACCTCCTTCACATTTCTTTAATTGAAACCTTCTCTACTTTATTTCCTGTTTTGTAAAATAAGTTGTGCCATGTCATTTAAAAAAAAAAAAAAGTTTTACTTTAAAAGTATGATTTTTTTAAAGCATAATAGCATTTTCCAAAAAAAAAAAAAGTTGATACTTTTGGTTACCCAAAGAGCTATACATAACAAATGTTAAACTTCAAATTTTATAGTTTGATATGTGTGTAAATTTTTTATTATACAATACAAATGAATATGTATTATAGTTTAATACCCACTATGATGTGATCTATCGATCTGAAAACCCTGTCACTGAACACTCATTAAGTATTGCTCTGATACCTAAATAATGGGTCCTTTTTAGTGAGGTCCTGTAACAAGAAATCCTGTGAGAGTTCCACAATAAAAAGTAACAATCAGAAGTGTACTTAGAACATGTTGGAAAGCCCCGCATCCCTTATTAGGCCATCATACTGTTGGTGTTCCATTGGCTACCCAAAAGTTCTCTAGGGGCTGAAAAGCACTCAAAAATGTAGATTACATTGAAATGTTCTCGATATCAGTAATTTTATACACAAACTATTAGAAATCGGCCCTGGGGCTTGTTTCAAGTTCGGGTAAATTGTTATAGACTTCTTAAAAAATGATGATCTCTGTATGTGAATATGTGTATGACAAATGAAAATGGATTTTTCAGGGAATGTGCACTTTAAAAATACTTCTTTACTGATTTTTCTATTGACCAAATAGTCTGTGCTTCTTTGGGATGCTAACTATTCTTTGGTAAAAGTATGGTTATTGATGATGTTAATTAATTTTTAAAATATCTATTTCTGCATCGCTGCAGTATTTCCTTCACTTTTGTGTTCCTTTTACCCCTTATGTGGGCTCCTGACCCAGTTGCCTGTTACAGTCTATGCCTTTTTTTTTTATGTTGATAACTTATAAACACCAACATTTATATAAAGTGAAGTTCTTCCCCTTGAAGTTGAACTTGGTCTTTTTTTCCTTTTTCCTTTCTCGTGTGGGGGAAAAAAGGTGATAGCTGGGCCATTTCAGAGGGTTGCTCAGTTTTCCTGGGTTTCTCCCATGTGTACGGGAGGTATATATGTTATTAAACTGTTTTTCTCCTGTCAGTCTCTTTTATTACAGGGGTGGAATCCCACCCAAGAACCTAGAAAGGAGAGAGGGAAAATTATTTTTCCTTCCCTACAGTTTGGTGACTCATGATGGGACTTGCTGAAACAGCATACTCCCTCTGGAGCCTGCAGACAGGATCCTGGAAAACTGGCAGAAGCTGGCAGTTGGTAAGAAGTCTTACCAACATAAGCTCTCTTAGCTCGCTCTCTGTGCCTAGTTGAGAGAGGAAGGGAAAATTTCACCTTCTTCATCCTTTACAAATTTACATTAGCAGGAGAAAATATTTGTATGAACAGTTCTTTGTGTATAGAGACTCTGGTACAAAGATTTTTGTTACGAGTACCCTTGTTTTCTGTTGATCCCTTTCCTTCCAGAGATGGTCATTGTTTTGTTATCTCTTTTGTGTCATTTGTCATAAAGAGGAGAAAGATAGGCCAGAGGTTTTCCTTTCATTTTTGTGTCTTGAGAGCTTGGTTTTTTGACCAGTGAGAATACTTTCCCTGGTCTCCACTAGAGGGAAAATGCCATACTTGCATTTTCCCTCTAGTGGAAGTAGAATGCAAGCTTAAGTGTGGCAGCCAGCCAAATAGGCCGGGGATCCAAGACATGAAAGGAGAAGCAGTGTTCTCTCGATCCCACTGTGCCAGCTCTCAGGGGAGTTTATCTCAGGGGTTCCCAGTCCGTAAGGGGCCTGTCATCTCAGCCTTCACTGTTTCCGTGCCAGGGAAGTCCCATTCCAGTAGCATGTGTTTGGGGTCACAGAGTAGCAGGTCTGGGACTGGCAGTGTCTCATGGGAAACAAGAGACATCTTTTCACTACATCATTCTTACTGCCTGTGACAAGGGAAGGTCTTTGCTTTCTTATGCTAACCCTAAGAGTGAACTTTCTGGATCGTATTAAGGGCTGCATCTTTTCCAGCAAAGGGTTGGATACCTCTTGTCTGTCCAAAAGGGGCACCTCTTTATCCACCGGTAAGCCATAAAAAAAGGCTTATGGGTTTGAGTCCCTATGGAGATTAATACAAGATTCTACTCATCAATAGCCAGATGATGGATCCTTTGAATTGGAAAGACTTACCGTATTTGAAAAAAAAAATTTTAGAGAGTTCTCAATCTAAATGGTTGTCTTACTGGTATCTGTGGAATGATCAAATTGAAGAGGACGTGAAGGAATATAGCATCCAGCCTTAAGGACTCTATTAACAAGATGAAATTACAAAGGCTTTTTATCTCCACTTTTGGAAGATTCTACCAGATTTGTAGATCAGTGGCCATTCACAACTCCATTCACTGGGACCTTGATTGTCTGCTCAGGGGTCTTCTTCCCACCCATGTTTATACTGCAGTGATAAGCCAGCCAGCCCCTTGGGCAGACTCCCCTCCCAGAGGAAATGGATGACCAGAATTTCTCCCAGGCCTTCCTGCAAATGATCAGGAAATGGATTGGCTAAGGCTGATGTTCTGACGTTCAGTGACTGATAAAAGCAATAGTAGAGTCTTTTCCCCCTAAAGTGAATTGGTCCAAGGTTGGATTACACACTCAAGAGAGGAGAGCATTCAAAGGTTCTTGTAGAACGCTGTATATACTCCTTACAAAGGCATACTGCATTAAACCCTGAAGTTCTTGGACATAGGAATCTCTTGATTTTCATCTTCGTTGGAATGGAAATCTTACCCAATAATGATATAAAGAAACAAATTGAAGATAATGTAGTTGGATGAGTATGTCAGCCCCATAATATCATTCAGGCTCCCCTACTTCTTTGAGGAATTAGAAATACTATCTTTTGTCTTAAAAATCTTTACAAAACCAGAAATGCATTTCTAGAAGCAATACAAAGTCCATCCATCCTTACCAATCCCAAAGCCTCCCCTCTTCATCTCAAAATGCTTGCAGATACTGTGTAAGATTGGGATATTGGAAATAGAATTGTCCTGCATCTAAGAAAAGGAAAAATTTTAATAGTAATTACTCTAGACTTCTGATAATAGGCAAATATGCCCCAAACCTCTTGGAGATAACTTGGATACTTTCCTTGCGCCTTTGATACACATTTTCTACCTCCATCTCTTTGAAATGAAGACTTTAGGGAGATGATTCTCATGAGAAGGGAAAAAGGAGCTATTTGGAAATTGGGCACAATTTAAAAAAAAAAAATATCTTCCACACAAATCTTGGTAAAAAACCCTTAGCCATCTGAGTTAGCCATAAGTAAATGAACTCATTCCATCTGCCAGAAACCCAATTTGGATACAGCTGTTCTTTTACAAACTACTGAGTTGTGTTATTGTACCTGATTCACAGTTAAAAATGTTAGTGATAGGTATAAGGTCTCTGTTTGTATCTGTTTATGTGTGTCTATGTATGTTGTAGATCCGCTATTTTTCTACCTCCAGATGGTATTGCCAAAATTTGTAAACCAGCTCTACTTAATTGGCTCAGAAATAACTTCTTACACGAATTAAGCACTTCTAGACTCAGAAATATAGAAACTAACCCAAATGTTTTCCAAGTTCATGTGATCTGGGAAAATACTTAGTAAATATAAGCTAATTTAATTTGGTTTAATTGAAATAGGTATGTCTTCAGGGTTGTCAGCTTTGGATGTAATGCAGACGTACAACTTTTATTGTACCTGGTTTATTAGTCAAATGAGTGCATGTTATCTCTGTCACAAAACTTGTCAGCAAGAAAAATAACAGGATGATGGCCTTAATGTCTCATGAAATTTTTAGAAGTAATCTCAATATGATTAAGAACAAGTGAATTAAGTAGATTTAAGTGGGATTAAAGTTTATAAATGAAATTTTCCTAAGTTAAATGATGGGAATTCATTGGAATGTCTAAATTTCCAAATATGACAAAATACTGGAACACTACTGAATGTAGGTTTATCTACTTTTGGCTTAATATGGAGAGACTAAACATATTTGGGTCTGTTAGTAAACATCTTGTACCACATTGAAAAATTGTACTGTGAAGCAGCATGTGCTTCTAGAAATTAGGAAATGTATTCATAAATTTGCCAAACTACAGTTGATAACGGCTTAGTTCTAGAAATTAAGGTTTCAGAGGGTTGGGAATACTAGTTAACATATGTAATTCAAACTACTAGAAATAGTAAGGAAAACCTCTTTGTATGCAAACAAAGTAAGATGTGGTTTGGTTTAAGAAAAAACGTATGAGGTACAAAGATGCATTTTTGTTACAGGAAAGAGAAGTTGTGTCCTGGAGTAGAACGAGTGGTTTCAGAAGAGGAAAGAGGAGAGTAAGGGGAAAATAATTGGATATAGAAAGTTGGAAAGAGAAAACCTTGTATAAACTAGCTAAAATGGAATGAATTCATAAATGTGTAAAGATAAACTTTACTATCAGTAGTATACGCATGTAAAACTAGAACTTAGTTTTCTTCAATCTGCTGAAGGTGTAACTGAACCAACTTGAGTTTGCTCCTTGGTCAGTCACAGAGAAACACTACCGCAGGTTGGGTTGTCGCACAGAGTAAAAATTATTTGCAGCAAGAAAGGAGTTCACGGGGAATAACCTCCAAAACTGTGACTCCCTGAGCAAGGGTGGATGAGCTCCTTTTATTTAGGGTTAGGATGAATATTTTAAAAAGGGGATCTCTTGGGGGCACCTGAGTAGCTCAGTCGGTTAAGTATCAGACTCTTGATCGGCTCAGGTCATGATCTCAGGGTCGTGAGATTGAGCCCCACATCAATCAGGCTCTGCGCTGGGCATGGAGCCTGCCTCAGATACTCCCTCTCCTCTCCCCCTTCCCCAGCTCGTGGACACGTGCTCACTTGCTCTCGCTCTCAAAAAAAAAAAAAAAAATTCTCTAAAAGGGATCTCTTGCCATCATATGTGGAGGCAGGCATGAGATCCTGCCTGCACCTTAAGGAGAGATGCCTATGCTACGTTGTATGTTATGTAAATGAGGCTTGTGCTCCTTGTTAGGCGGAGATTTTAGTATTACAATGAGGTAGAGGTAGTTGTTGGTCACTCTAGAGGTCACTGCATGGTCCATCCGTGCAGGTGCAAGCCAGGGGTTAAGCCCAAACTGGTCTGGGTGGTCGGGCCTGCTGGAGGTCTCATCAGGGCTGTTGCTGTGCTATTGCCCGAGGGGTGGTTTCGGTTTCCGTCTGCCTGACTTAAGAGACAAACTGGAAAGAAAAGCCTAAGGGAAAACGGAGGACAAAGGCGGTGAGTACACGCAAGGGGGCAGTAAAGGTCAGGCCTATGGGGTCTAGCTAGTAACAAAAGGACAAAGTTCTCTCAGACTTTTGGTCGGTCTGCTCCTGATAAGTAAGCTGACTAGAAAGCAAAAGATTTTGTGTTTCACTGAAATTTCCTGTTATCTTTATCATCAGGTCTTTGATCACTTAAGAAAACCACAAGTCTTCTCAATATTAAGAGCCAAGTTTCACTGACAACTATGGAACCTTCTGTATTTGCCTTTAAAATCTTTTGTCACTTTGGTTAAAATAGGTAATCAAGTATTGTTTCTTAATTCTAGTCAGGTGTTCAAAAGTACTGATATCCTAACAACACCCTTACTCACCTCTCATAGGTGATTCCTCCTCCCCCAACATCTTGAGCTGAGGAAGGTACTCAAGGGGGAGGGCCTGGCCTAGAGGGAAGTTACTCATTTCTCTGGGTCTCTCCCCTGTATACAGAGGCATACATATTATTAAACTAGTGTGGTGGCGTTTTTGTTTTCTTCCCCCCCTGTTAATCTGTTTTGTTTGGGGATCTCAGCCAGGAACCAAGAAGGTAAGAGGAAATTTATTTTTCCTCCCCTCCAAGGACATTTATAAAGTTTGAGTTAGAAAAATGCTGTGACTTTCCTAGTTTATATCAACCATGAGCACAAAGAAACACAACATAATCCCAGGCTGATGGCCGAATGGTATATTCGTAGCCTCCTCAGAAAGGCACAGCATGCATGTTTCAAACAGCCAATCTGTGGTGGCCACCAGAACTTTGGCAGGGGTTACATTACATTTGTTAAACAATTTAGACTTAAACCATTTCATAAGTTTACAAGACTTGGTCATAGATATATAACACACACTTTCTTCCACCAGTACAACATAATATGCTGTCTAGAGCCCATTTATGTCAACTTTGGCTGCATGGTGATCAAATAATGGCAAAACTAAGATACATTGATATAGTCATTAATTTGGCTTAACAAAAAAACAAATGTTTGATGGCATGTTAAATGCATACTTCAGCATGAAGAGAGAAAATTTTAAATCTCTAAATTACAAGATTTAATAAAAAGCTTCAAACCCATTAACTTTCTTTAAAAAAACAAAAATACCACCCAAGTTAATCCTAGAGGTCTCAAGGCATGATCTATAAATTAACAGACCCCTCTGATACAGGATGTGTTAAGGACTATTATTAAACACACTTTAACTTAACACAGTAAATCACAGTGGCTTTTAAAAATTCTATAAAATATCAAATTCAAAACTTAAAATCTCCTAGCCAAAAGTCAAGAAAAGAAATATAAAGACTTTTTGAAAAAGTTGGCTAAACTCAAACTATCTCACAAAGTCCATCACCTGTCCCTGGGGCCCGCATGGCCGGCTTGGTGCCACCAGCCTGGTGGGTGATGTCACAAGCACTAGCAAATAAAACGGGCGGAGCTTGCAAATCCTGTCTTCTGGGAGGGGTGAGGAGTGGGCAGCAGCTTCTAAACCAGGTTGAATTCCCTCAGGTTGAGTTGGAGAATTGTGTCCTTCACAGCAGCGAACACAAAGCGGATATTCTCCGTGTCTGTAGCACATGTGAAGTGAGAATAGATGACTTTCTCTTTGTCAGGATTCTGATCTTGATACAGCTTCAGGATAAAGTCTCTGGCGGCTTTTACATCCTGCTTCGGTCCTAGTCAAGAGTGCAGTTACAGGAATAAAGAAGAAAGCTACTAACCCCCGGGTCCTCCCCACAATCAGTTTCAGTATACTCCTGTTCTTACTTGGGATCCTTCATTGAGTTCTTATTCCTAGAGAACAGCTTACCTGGGGTGTGAACTTTTATTATAGCTCATCATGAACCTGTAAACGAGACTTTTAAAATGTCCACTGCTATCTAAAAAGTGTACTTTAAAGCACTTTGTTGAAAAACTGACCCAATTTAATGTTCTGGTTTGGGCTCTCACCACATGGCTGATGCAGTTAATAAAAGGAAAGGGGGTGCTAAAACAGCACTCTAAATGTCAGTATCAAACTTGCTGATATTTGAGACTTCCCGTACCAGAAATAATTAGCATCAGGACATAAACTTTCCGGCCTGGGATCGGTCCTCTATCTACAAACTTCAGTGTCTACCGTGTGCCTGGAAAGGGGTCTGTCACACTAAGCTACACAGAGAAGGAGCAGGTACTCTGACGGGGACCGGGGAGACACAGCTAGGCAAGGCCAAGGCTCGCGCTCCAGAGGGAGGAAGGCCAAGGGAGCACACAGGAGGCACACCCAAGTGCAGATGGGTGGGGGGAGTGCGAGCAGGACTTCCCCAAGGACGACGTGCCTGAGCTGGGTCTTGGAGGACGAGGAGGAGTTTCCACAGGGGGTGGCATGTGTGGAGGTGCTGAGGCAACAACAGAGTCATGCACCTGGAGCTTCCCTGAGAAAGTCTATTCGAGGCAGATCAGGGACCATGGGGCCTGGGGCCCAGATCAGGGACCAGGGACTATGACCCTCTGGGGCCATGTCAGTAATGCCGGCCCATTGCCAGGGAGGTCGGCAAGAGGGACACTTACCTGTGTATTCTGGAAAGTAGCTAATTAGATGAGAGTACATGATTTTCTCCTCCAAAAGATCCTTCTTATTTAAGAACAAAATCACAGACGAGTTCAGAAACCAGGGGTAGGTTATAATGGTTTTAAATAAGGCTTTGCTCTCCTCCATGCGGTTCTAAGTGCAAAACAAGGGACTTAGGGTTAATAAAGAAAAACAATACTTTGGAAGCAACAGGCCAAATCGCTGGTTCCACCCATGTGTCCCCTCACCCAGCTGCCGGCTCCACATCATTCTCCATGCTGAAGCTGGTGAGCACAGGGGCCCCCCCAGGACACCAGGCCTCCTGCTTCTATTTCCCCCCTTCCCTTCTGGCTCTCTTCTGCAGCCCCCCAAATAAACCCCCATAACACATAAGAAAGGCTTTTGTGAAACTTGGAAAAAGGTTCATACCTATATTCGACAGTTTTCGGTTTTAATTACGGGGGTTACCAAGTAGGGAAAGTGCATTAGGCCCGAGACACTCACTCTAATTGGGGGTGGGCTTCCAGACCTCGGGAGGAAGAGTCCTCCAGCACAGCCACTGTCCAGAGGAAGGCTGGGCATTGGAAAGCAGGGGACAGACGCTGCTGAGCGCCTTCCATGCGCCACGCATTACAGGTGGGTAATATGGGCGAGGTCTGCTAGGGGAACAGGGTCCCCATTTTATGGATAAACATACTAGTGTTCGCAACTTTAAATTAGGTCCCAAGCCCATGTAATAATAGGATCGGGTCAAAATTATGTAGAAAAAGTAAAAATTTCTTAACAGTCACTGGCAAGAATATATCAAATGTTCCTAATTTAGGGAAAGTAGACAGGGCACATACAAATCTTATCTGGTGACAAAAATTGTTCTGGATGGCACTTTTTTTTTTTAAAGATTTTATTTATTTATTTGACAGCGAGAGCAGGAACACAAGCAGGGGGAGTGGGAGAGGGAGAAGCGGGCTTCCTGCCGAGCAGGGAGCCCGATGTGGGACTCCATCCCAGGACCCTGGGATCATGACCTGAGCCGAAGGCAGGTGCTTAACGACTGAGCCGCCCAGGCGCCCTAGATGGCACCTTTTTAATAAGGTATTTTTAAAGTAAGCTCTACGGAGCCCAGCGTGGGGCTTGAACTCATGACTCTGAGATCAAGAGTCACATGCCCCATGGACTGAGCTGGCCACACTCCCCCTGCTCTCAAGGATTTCTAAGAGTTAAGAAACAATGGTCTTTATAGAGGGCAGTGGTCAGACAAAAACAAAGCTTTGCACACCTGCTCAGAGGGACATGGCATAAACCTATCACTGTTTCCCTATCACTCCTGCATACCTGGGCCCATTCTCCTATTCAGTACCTTTTTGGCAATCAAGATCTGGAAATTATTACCGGACAGGTAACCCCTCAGTTTTTAAAGCTTTAAAAAAATTTATGATGGTCTTATCAATAATCTGCAAGGAAGTTGACCCTTGAACACCACAGGAGTTAGGGGGGCTGATCGCCTGGCATAGTCGAAAATGTGCATATAACTTGACTCCCCAAAAACTTAACTACTAATACCCTACTGTTGACCAGAGTCTCACCAATAACAACACATATTTTGTATGTTATGGATGTTATATACCATATTCTTACACTAAAGCTAGAGAAAAAAAAAGGTTACAAGGAAAATACCCATACTGTACCGTATTTATCAGAAACAAAGCTCACGTGTAAGTGGACCCATGCAGTTCAAACCTGTGTTGTTCAAGGGTCAACTATACACGAAGAAACAATTCCTGTAAGTCCAGTGAGTGGACACAACATGTATGTACACCCAGGAGGACAAGTCTGGAGTGGAATTCCTCTCCAAATACCTTGTGATTTTTAGGAGAGGAGAAAATGTCTAATTTGTAAGCATACTGGGTTGAGGCACTGGTCCTTTGTGCCCCTGAATCATCTTTTGAGCTTCCCAAGAAACAAGAAATCCTGACACAAATTTGGACCTCATTTTTCATATTGATAACTTGAAGCCTTTGCTTTAAAAAAAAAAAAAAGTCCCTCCTGGACGAGCTGGGTGGCAGCCAAGATTGCTATTCTTCTTTGCAATGACACCAGTAAATGGGTTAATCCTCCACTAATTAGCTAATGTAACTCTGCTCCTCAGAGAAAAGCCTGCTCTCAAGAAATACAAGATATAATTTGCTCATAGTTACTGTCTAATCCTGGGCAGAGTTCTTTACTGGTTTACTACCATGACCTAGAAGGAAGAGACACTTTTCTATGAGGTCAGGATGTCTCGTGCAAGGCTGGGCAAAAGACAAGGGGAGGACAGTGGTATCCCACAGAACATAGCCCCACCTCACAGAGAAGTGACAGCTATCGTCACTCTCTGGGCAGATGTGGTTAATGCAGTTCCACGCAGCTAGCCCTACAGCAACCCTGCAGAGGACGTGGAATGCCTGACCGGGGTGGGTCAGAACATCTCTAAGCAGCTGACACCACTCCTCATGTCAACTCAGGGACGTAATTTGGGAGCACCATGGAGAGAGATTAGGAAGCCTGTTCCCAGATATTTATGAGAAAGAGCATTGCTCAACTTTGGCTGTGCCTGAGCACCTCTGAGGGGCTTGGAAAAAATACCCCCGACTCAAACGTAAGAAATATGAGTTTCTACTGTGAGGTCCAAAAGATGGTCTTTTTTAGAAACTCCCCAGGGGATTCCAATATGCAGCCAAGACTGAGAACCAATGCTTTTGGGTGGCCTCACCCTTGGCACCACCTGAGATTCGATCCCAGGCTTAGCCCACCCCCAGCCCAACTAAATCAGAATCTGGAGTTGGACCCAATGCCAGGTGTCTCTTTAAGATCCCCGGGGAATTCCAGCGTGCATCCAACTTTGAGAACCAGGTTTCCAGGCCAGTGATTGTCAAACTTTCATGTGTATTTGAATTACCTGGAGCCTTGTTAAAATACAAGTTCTGATTTATTCCGTGTAGGTCGATTGACTAGGCATGCATTTCTAACAAGCACGCAGATGATTCTGGTTCTGCTAATTCCAGACACTGCACTTTGAATAGCAAGACCGCTTAATCTAAAGAATACAGTCTAACACCGGGGCAGGCTAGCTTTTTGCAAACTGCAGCCATGGGTCTCTGTTTTCCACAGCTACCCCTCCCCACCCAGCATACCTCATTGTCACACTCAGCCAGGACCTGGTCATATTCACTGAGAGCAACCAAAAAAATAATGGAGGTGACACTCTCAAAGCAGTGAATCCATTTCCGTCTTTCAGATCGCTGGCCACCAACATCTACCATCCTGTTCGACAGAAACACAGAACATTGAAAGGTTGGAATACATGGCTCTTTGGAGGAGGAGGACAGGAATCATTATATTTTGGGAATCCGCACTCCTGAGGGTCCTCAGTAATTTTTTAGAGGTGAAAAGGGGTCTTAAGATGCCCATGTTTGAACACTGCTGCTTTCGGCAGAGAGGAACCCTGGGTGTTAGCAAAGGAGGCACATACTGTAAGTAAAGTTACTGAAGACGGGGGGCGCCTGGGTGGCTCAGTCAGTTAAGCGGCTGCCTTCGGCTCGGGTCATGATCCCGGGGTCCTGGGATCGAGCCCCGCATCGGGCTCCCTGCTCAGCAGAGAGCCTGCTTCTCCCTTTCCCTCTGCTTGCTGCTCTGCCTACTTATGCTATCTCTCGGTCAAATAAATAAATTAAAAATAAATTAATAAAAAAAAAAAAGTTACTGAAGACGGGTGCAGGGGTGACTCCAGGGGAGCAGCATGCTCGGGGACACTGGTTTGGAAGCTGCTGCCTTAGTCCAGGCAGAAAGCACAAGCATCCACGTAGGTGATGCTCTAACCACTGTCGAGTGCCAGACACCAGACACGCGAGGGCCAGAAAGGCAGGCAGTCTCCCAGGCCTACCAGCTGCCTCCAGGCCCTCCCCCTGCCTCTTTTTCACCACTCCTCAGACTTAGACACGAGTCCTTTCCGCATTACGTGGGCGCTGCCCCTTCTGGCCTATAAAGACCTGCAAGTGGCCTCCATCGTCTCTGGCAATCCAAAGGCTCTATCTGGGGCTTTGGGAAAAGACTCAAGAGAGTCCTAGCCCAAAGATGGCTCGTAAGCTCCAACGCTGCAGGAGGCAGGCAGTTTATGGAAATGAGTCAAGTGGGCCTCTCCAAAGTAGAACGGCAGGCAACTTCGAGAACGCCAGGGGCCCCGTCCAGAGGGTGGACTGCAGGGTGGCTGTAGCCAAGGCCTGCTGGACAGACGTGTAGGCACGCCACGACCAGCCCCTCAACCTTTCAAGAGAAACTAGGTATCAAATGTTGTAAGCAAAATGGACCAATTCTTGAATACTGGCTCAAAAGGGGCTTAGAAAACACCAAGTGGGCCAAACACATCTGCGGACCCGATTCAGGGTTCGGACATAGCAAGCAGCACTGATTCTGAACAGGTCACGGTCATACATTCGTGGGCACCTGGATGCAGATTTTCAAGGGGCTCGACCAGAGGGCTCCCCAGTGCCACAATGCTCCGGAGGCCTGGAGATGGAATCGGGTTTACAGACAGGCCCTGGTTGTGGCAGGACCGGACCTGTGTCATCTCGACTAGAAAAGCATAATGCAGTAACTCTGATGAGGAACAAGGGAACTAATGGATAACTTGCAGTGCTGGGCATAAGTACCATATCCTCCTCTTTCTGCCATAATTAAATGCAGTGAGGATCTACTTAAGTCATCCTAAAAGTACTTCTTAAATTTGTATGTGGAAATTCATACTTTTTTTACACAACTGTATATAGTTTATATTATCTAATGTAATTAATACACTTTTGTACTGACTGTTAGTTTTTTTTATTTTTATGGATAGATGCTACAGAAGGGACTATAAATAGGGAAGAATAATATTCAAGTTTAGGGAAAAGGCATCAGTATTTTCAGTGTGTGTGTGTGTGTGTGTGTGTGTGTGTGTGTGTGTGTCTTTTACACCTAAGGGTTATTCCAGACTTCAGTAAGGAGACTGTGTTCTAAGGGGAATAGGAAGGTGAGTTCCTCTCCATTCCAGGACTTGAGACCTCCCATAATGTTAAACACTCAGTGATGGAGAGGCCCATATGGCTCTGGGAGATAGAACCCTTTGAGGAATAACACACTTAAGAATCCCTCCCAGGACTTCCAAGGCCACACAAATTCCGACGGACCGTGTCAGGGAGACAGTCTTACCGAAAGATGATGTTTTCCAAGTCAAACGGATACTCAATGATGCCGGTTGTGGGCACTCGGACGCGAAGCACGTCTTGCTGTGTTGGCACGAACGACGGCATGGCGATCCGGTCAATGTCAGTCAGGTAACTGCGATATCAGACAGCAAGGCACCAAGACTCGTTTTAGACACCGGAGAAACGTCTATCCCACTCCAGGGAAGTCACCCCAACTCACAGCGCCCCCACTCAGGTTCGTGGATTCCATTCTTCTTGAGAGCTGGCGCTGGACCGGGTTTCCCCCCTGCCCCCCAACTATGAGTGTTTGGGAGAGAATATGGATCAGAAGCTTCCATGAGCCCTCTGGGAAATCTGGGAATAATGCCATTTCTTCCTCCGTGCTCTAAGCTTTCCCTCTCCCTGGCCAGTGAGGGAGCCAACGGATCAGAAGGAAAGGATGGGATCCGGTCTGTGACCTCTCAGCCGCCTTCCTCCCTCAAAGCCCCCCCACACACACACACTCACCCCCACCCACGAACATTACAGAACGCAGATGCTGCTCTCGAAGGCTTTGCTCAATGAATTCGAGTTTCTATGAGAATATAAAGGTATAGAACAGGCCAACTCAAAGCTCTTTAAAAATAAGAAAAAGTTTACTGTTCATTGGGACATTAAACATCTAAAATCAGCCAACGCTTGTCCCGGATTATTTCTGGCTGCATAGTAAACTCCTAAGCTGGAAACAAATCACTTTTTCTGTTTTGTTTTGTTTTTGTTTTTTAACTTTAAGGCCTTTATACAAGGCATTTTTGAGTAAAAGACCTGTAACGCAGGCCCCAGCCAACGATGCGGGGGGTGCTTCGGCGTGTCCCGCACAGCACGGCGTGGCCCCGCCTCCTCCCCGCGCAGTGGACCCTGCCGGGGACTGCAGTGCCCAGCAGGTGGCAGGAGCCGGAGCCCAGGGAGGCAGGTGGACCGTATTCCTCGTGCAGCCCTCCGTCGGACGGTCTGTCGCTGGAGGACAGAGAGCACAGGTTGGCCCACAGCAGCACATTGAGTTCTGGTGAAATGAATGTCCCAATAAGCGGACAGTCCTGGCACAGCAGACGACACCTGTGCGTCTGGTCCGAGTCAGCTCAGCAGCTCCGGAGGTGGGGCAGCTGCTGGTGCCGCAGCGCCACTGTCTCGGGGGCAGCGCGGTCCCCCTAGCCGTTCCCTACGTGCCTCTCGGTGCACGAGCCCCCAGAGATGGCCTCACGGACTTCGAGTTGTCGCTGGGTCCCCAGCTGTCCACTGCCGTCTGCCCTCCTCCCTGGGACACTGCCTTCCTTCCTTCTGGCTCTTTTCTGAGCTGCCCCCATACCTTTTCTGGGCTTCTTTTATTTCCTTTTCTTACTTGGCTGCCCTACTGCATTTAAACGTCCCTGCACTCAGATTGGTTGTGCCAACCTAGGGCAACAGCCTGAAACACGCAGCCTGGCACTAGCGCCAAAGGGAGGCCACTGAAACAGGAGGTGAGATTTCAGGTTTCCTCTCCTGCCCACTGCCTTGTCCAGACGATCGGGGTGAACCACCTACCCACACCTGCTTGGAGGGCAACAGCATCACCCCAAGGGAAGGGGATGGGATTCTGGGGCTCTCAGAGGCTGGGGGAGGACACGGAGCAACGGGGGAAGAGCTGAGCTGCAGAAGCAGGAAAAACCGCCTCTTCAAGCAGGAACATGACCAATTTGTGTGTCCAGTGACCTAGCTGATGGAGACACTGCCTCCGGAAATCTGAAGACATGGAATTCTGTGATCACCATGGGATAATTTGCATGCAGCACCATCTATTTCATCTTACCTTAGGAATTAATGATTTAAAACTAGAACTTTATGAATCAAAACTAAAGCGCGGAGGCCTTCCCAGGGAGTCAATAAACAAAGGGCTTGTGGACTGAGCTTCCTCCCTGTGCTGGGCCTGCAGAACCTGTCTTGCCCACCAGAGGGCAGCACGAGATCAGCCACTGGAGCGGGTCTATTGCAGCGCCGGTCGAAACTCCGATTTTAGATTTGAGGGCAATTGATCCTGCTATCTGCTGATCAGGAAACCAGAAGGCAGAGGGATATGGAGAAGAGGAAAGGAGAAGCCAGAGGCAGTGGCAGTCCTTATTCAAGTCAGAAGATTTCAGCACCCCAGATGAGATAAGTTCCCTCCAAGGAACCCCACATTTGATTGAGCTTCTTGTTGAACAAGAGAGGCTTAGAACACAGCGAGGAAAGGTGGGTATGGGCAAGGACAGAGATTTGGGGATCCACAGTTTTTAGGAAGCGGTAAGAGACGCATCAAGGAGTCACGGGGGGGATAGTGACAAGCAGGAAAGAGGTAGTGTTTACAGGCAGCTACTTTCTCCCCAGTGAGAAGCTTCTCTGAAGCGTGGACAACGTGTGCCTGGGCTCAGCACTCACTATTTGGCCGAGTCCGACAGCTGGTACTCCCTTCTCCTGTCATAACACTCCTGGATTCCTGGGTCCTGCCAGAGCTGCCTGATGGCCTCCACCTGGTCCCTGGACAGGGCGCAGACCTTGTCCACTTCCACTTCTTTGATTAGCTGGGCATTTTCCTGCACGAAGGAAAGAGAACCTGTCACTGGGCGAAGGAAAGGAAGCCAGTCTGTTGGTGACTTGGGGACAAGACGTCCCCCAGGCCGTGGGTGAGGGACGATCTCCGCTCACACGCCAGCCACGCAGCGGCAGCCACTAGCAGTGCCGACGATGTGGCCGCTTCACTCAGGGAGAGCCACAGAGAGACGGTGACCTGCGGCTTTCGGTCCCGTCAGCCCCCAGGGGCCAGTGCCACTGGCATTCGGCACCCAGTGGTGAACAGAGAAACCCAAGAGCCACTGACCATCACTGTCCTTTGAACATCTGCATGGCAGGCCAAGCAATTTGAAAAGAACCGTTTTTATTGTCCTGGCATCCCCAGGAGGAAGCAGGTCCGCCTCGAAGCCGCAGCAGGGGAGGGCCTGGGCTTCAGAGAACACACAAACACTAAATCACCAGCTAGCTGTGTCCGTTGGCTTGCGTTTTCTTTTTCTTTTTTTTTAATATAACTTAGGAGACTTTATTTCTTAGATCAGTTTTTTAATATAACTTAGTAGGCTTATTTATCATCAGACATCACTGATAAAACTCCTTCCCATTTGGAAAGCCACTCCCATTGCAAGCCCCGCCCCGTGCCAATTACTGCTATATTTATCATTGCTCTCATTCAATACCTAGTGCTCTGATACTGTGGCCCCATTATTACAGTACTTAAGATCATTGCTGTAATTATTACTATTCTGTCAGTTACCATTTATTGCCCACTTCCTGTGTGCCAAGAGGTGTACACACATTATCTCATTTAATCAATGTAAGGCTAACACGGGGCCAGAAATCTTGCCAAACCTTAGCAAATGAAAATGATATGGTTGGCTTACATCCTCAACATGTCCATGTGTCGGCCACGGAGATCCAACATCCCGTCCCTTGGCTGCAAGTTGCACAGACAATGGAATCCTGCTGAGAGACAGACAGGAATCCGACCTCTCCTTAGCTCCCCCATCCTGCCACCCTTAGAGCTGGCTATTCACTGGCCCCTGTGAGTCAGCAAAGCATCAGTGTGGCGGCTGTGAGCTGCTTGTGTGTATATGGTACACCCTGAAAAGTTGCTCATATCTTGTATTATTCATCCTCATTAACAATCCAACAGGAAGCTGGAGAAAAGGGAGATCTTAGAGATTTACCAGACTCGGGGCAAAACCGAGGGCCGTGTGAGCCCCTATCCATCCAGAGTGGCTATCAGCTCTTCCCCCTGGACTGTGGGATCCTCGACAGGGAGAGGATCCCAGTTGCGGAACCTCAAACAGGTCTAGGCAGCATGGATTAGTGGGAAGTGCCCTGGACGAGGAATAAGGACCCTGAGTTCTGGTGCATTTGGGACTTTGAAGGACCCCAACCCCAACAGTTCCCTATCTCCGCATCCTCATTTGAAAGGAGCCAGTGATTTTCAAGGTGTCTGATTTATCAATTATAAAGTTTCACCTAAACGAAAGCAAAATTAGCATTATTGTGGCAGATGCCTAATACTTGTTGGCAAAAAGAGGACACACTGTTGGCCTTTCAGCCATGACTTCGAATCCTGCCCACGAGCACATTCTGCATCACCAGCCCTACTGTAAGCCAGAGAGCACAGCCCAGAAAACCCGGACAGTGTGTGCACGGACCTGCGGGACTGTCTTCCTTCTGCTTCTCTCCCTGCCTCCCGCCGCCCTCTTCCTCCCGATACGATCAGATGGTCTCTCCCCACGCTGGGCTTGGCTCTACCCTCCGCACTGAAAGGATCTGTTTTCTTCCCTGTCTTCGCTCCCGAGATTCCCAGACCCTAGTGCAGTGCCCGGTGGCGCAGGCAGCCCGCAAACATGCTGCACATACACACATCTGTCATTCTAACACACAGACCATCCCCAGAAAATAACAGCCGGAGAACGTGAGGGCAGGATGACAGCAGCATGAGTCGGTCACAGCGAGAGCCCAGAGCAGCTCGAGGACAGGAAAGTCTCTCCAGGACTCCTGACCAACCTGTCTTTCTGCCCCTGGTGGCAGGCAGAATCCTTGCTTCTAGGGTGCCGGCCTCTCATGCTGCTCTTCTATGACTTTTTTTAAAACTTAACTTTTTTAAAGTACTCTACACCCAGAGTGGGGCTCGAACTCATGACCCTGAGACCAAGAGTTGGCGGCTCCACTGACTGAGCCAGCCTGGCGCCCCCTAAATACAACGATTACATTCAGCTCACCTGCTGAGAGGCTTCCCCATGAGAGTCACTGGGATGTTACAAACATTCCCACCTCCCCTTCTCACAAACGCCAGGTAGGGTTGTACTTCACGGTGAGCGAAACAGCAGTGGAAACATTTGTCTCTTTCAGAAAGAAACTTTAATGAGCCAATGAGTCATCTACCACCTTCCCTTTCATCTACTGCAGTGCTTGTCATGAGACAAGATGGAGTCTCAATCAGCCCAGCTTCCTGAGCAAGTACAATGTGCAGAGACCCCCCGACACACCATCCTGCGATGAGTGAGAAATCATCTTTCATTGTGTTAAGCTGAACTCTGAGGGCAGTTTGTTCCTGCAGCATAACCTACGCTATCCTGCTACATGTTGAAATGGGTAAACCCAGTATTCAACTCTTCCAGGAGAGAGAGAAAGTGGATCCCAGGGAGGTATCCCAGAAGAATGCAGGCTTCTTCATGGGGAGCCGGGGGGTGGAGGCTGGGGAAAGACAACCCCGAGCTTTCAGGTAACCAAGGAGGCTCATCCAGGAGAGCAACATCCAGTGACTGTTCAGCCCGGTGAGGGGACAATGGAGGGACTCTGGCTTGAAGCAAGATGGGACCACAGTCTCCTTAGAAACCCAACAATTGGGAACTGGGTTTGGAACCGACTGAATTCAAGGAGCCCAGAAGTATTCCAAGTTCAGAGTTCTCTTCCCAGCTAGATCTCCCACCTGTCAAGATCATTCTTTTTAAGATTTTAAAATCATTTTTTTTAAAGATTTATTTATTTATTTATTTATTTGAGAGAGCGAGAATGAGAGAGAGGGGGGAGGGTCAGAGGGAGAAGCAGACTTCCCGCTGAGCAGGGAGCCTGATGCGGGGACTCGATCCCGGGACTCCATGACCTGAGCCGAAGGCAGACGCTTAACCAACTGAGCCACCCAGGTGCCCCAAGATTTTAAAATCATTTAAGACTTGCAAAAATGTGGGGGAAATGGTACAGAGTTCCTCTCTGCCTTTCAAGATTGCCCAAATGTTGACCATTTATGACCATGCCATATCATCTACTCCCTCTCCCTCCAAATGCATGCAAGACACACACACACAGAACTTCTGCCTGAAATATTTGCAAGGAAGTCTCAGACACAATACCTCTTTATCACTAAAGACTTCAATGTGATTTCCCAAAAATCCAACACTGGACTATAAAATCACCGGATAATGACGAAAATCAAGAAACTAACATTGACACAATATTGTAATCTCATCCTGAGACCTTATGCCACGTTTGTTAGTGGTCCCCTTATTGCCCTTTATCTGCCCCATCTAGGGTCACAAAATGCATTGACTTGCCTCTCTGTGATCTCTATTTATTTGGAAAGGTTCTGTGGTCAGAAATTGCTTGGTCACCCTGATCAAGAACTGCCTGACAGAGAAATGAGGCGGGCTGGCAGGGAGCGTGGCACAGCCCCAGGGACGGTTCCAGGAAAAAATACTATGAAGGGCGGGGAGGAACGAGGAAGAGAGTGACCTGTTTTTAAATAAATTTTATTGGTATATGCAGGACTTCTATACACTGTGAACATCTGTGTGTTACAGAAAGTGGGGTTTTGTGCATATTTTCCCATGGCTTGGCTAAATACTTTCATGCACGGCGGGAGCAGGGCCAGTATGATGAGCATGTTCAGACCACCTAGAGAGTGCACACCATCTGAGAGCAGAGGGCCCCTTGTGCAACGTGGGAGCAGCTTTGTGTGAAGACTGGCTCCCTGAGGGGCGCCTGGGTGGCTCAGTCGTTAAGCGTCTGCTTCGGCTCAGGTCATGATCCTGGGGTCCTAGGATCGAGCCCCGCATCGGGCTCCCTGCTCGGCGGGAAGCCTGCTTCTCCCTCTCCCACTCCCCCTGCTTGTGTTCCCTCTCTCGCTGTGTCTCTCTCTGTCAAATAAAGAAATAAAATCTTAAAAAAAAAAAAGACCGGCTCCTTGAGCTGAGGGTCTAAAATGGCGATGGCAGGAAGACCCGGAATTCATCTCCTGTGGGACACACCAAACCTACACCAGTTACAGAGCAATTACTCCGGATGAAAAAGTGAGGGCTGGGGCACCTGAGGGGCTCCATCGGTTAGGCATCCAACTCTTGATCTCAGCTCAGGTACTGATTTCGGGGTTGTGAGTTCAAGGCCCACATTGGGCTCCGCTATGGGCTCCGTGCTGGGTGTGGAACTTACTTAGAACAAAACAAAAAACAGGGCTGACTGAAGGGCTGCTGCACAACAAAAGCTCGAGAAACCACTTAGAGAGGAGCAAGAGAGACAGAGACATGGTAATGAGGGAACCCCACCTCCCACTCTGCCACCAGCAGTGAGGACAGACAGTACTGAGGGATCCGGAGCAGATCTATCTGCCCTGGGGCACAGAAAAAAGCTGCAGTTTAAAAGAGGAACTAGTTATAAAAGATCCAGCCTCCTCAAAACGGTGGGGGAGCTTCTGGAATGCTCTTCAGGCTGGAGGGGCCGGTGAATACCACAGGTGATACTTGCCGTCCACTTTGATCCCCAGACAGGAGCGGAGTCCAGCTGCCATGGCCCCCCTGCGCCTCCGCGAGCCCCAGGCCTCTGGCCCACACCAGCCCGAGCTGTGCCCCCAAGGCAGCTCGAGCACAGGGCGCATCGGAGCACCCCGGGTCTGTACCCATGATGGCTGCAGCATCGCGTCGAGGGGACACGGGCACAAAGTGCACTGGAACACTCCACACCTGCTCCACTTCGGTCCCCGGGGGCTTCCTAGGGCATCCCCGGCCCACAGCAC